ACCGGCTGCCCTGCAGCAAGCGCTGGAGCCTTGTCCTGGAGGTGCCAGACAGCTTAACGCAGTGACAAGTTGTGGCTCTGCAGGTGGGACGCTGGGGAAAATGATTTTCCCGGGAAGGGTGGAGCAGACCTGCAAAACCGTGTCATGAGCGTGCTTGTGCTCAGCACCTGTGGCCAGGCTGCGGGGGATCTCCGGGAGGGGAGATGAACCTCCCGTTTCGCCCGACACCCGTGTTTTGCCCCCCGGGCGGGCGCATCAGGCAGGCGGTGGTGAAGCCGTCCCCACCACGGCAGCGCTGGACACCGAAATCCCAGCATGGGGCACAGCAAGCCGGCACGGCGCCTGCCCAACCTCCATCCCGTGGCTCCTGGTGCCTCCACAGGAAAAGTCACCTCAAATCCTGAAAAGAGCTTCAGGGCGAGCATTTCCTTGGGTAAACATATTAATTTGTTAACCAGAAATGTATGAGGGTATTTCCTGCTCTCACAGAGGGTGTTGTCTTATTATTCTTCCTGAGTTTCTGGACAGCAGCCGCCTCCTCCTGGCACGGCTTTGGAGCCAGCGGATACCGCTCCAATCTTTTAGGATTTACTGGTAACTGTCCCTACACTCCTTTCCCATCCCGCTCAGGTTGGGTTTTGTTGTGCGGCGGGCATCAAGCACTGTGGTGTGGGGACGGCCGTGCACGGCCACGGCACCTCCGGCTGAGCCTTCCGGGCAGCAGGGACACATCTTCAGAGGGAGAGAGGCTGGAAGTTAATCCTGGGGAAATCCCAAATGTTCGGGAGGAGGGATGGGAGCTTTGGAGCTTTCTCTTTCCTGGATGCCTGGTACAGAGCAGCCAGACCCCCAGACTTTTATATGCCAGAGGCTCCCAAGGAGCCAGTTTCCCCCGGCTCCAAGTTTTTTACAGCTGCGTATTTCCAATGAAATCACTTTATTGCCCAATTTCCCGGAGCGGGCGACAACAGAGCTGCGGGCAGCGCCTGCCCAGGTAATCCCCAGGCTCGCTCGTGGGGCTGCCGTCATGCTGGTGGGCTGGAGGGCAGCAGTGCGATGCTTCACG